GAAGAAGGATTTTAAAGAATTTGCTATATTTCCCCCATTGGGCCCTGCCCCTCAGCCCCCAAAATTTGGTCAAAATCTTCTCAGTCGTTCATGAAAAGTAGGGTTTTAAAGGAAAAGTTGATGGACGGACGGACGCTGCGGTATGGAATAAGCTCACCATGGTCCTTTGGACCAGGTGAGCTAAAAATTATCACAGATTTTTTTTGTAGGCAACACATATTTGTTCTGTTGATGGAAAAACTGGAACGTGTTGTTGTAATCAAACAATGTCTGAATACACGCGTCAAAACAGAAAGAAAACTCACAAATATTATCACAAATTGCTGTATTTACTTTGTAGGAATTCATCTGTTTCATCTAGAACTGTTTGCAGGTCTTTAAATTGTGTTATGAGTTTATTTGCCTCATCCAGTTTCAACCACTTAAAGTCAATGTGTTCATCTGACAGAGTCACAGACATTTCAGGGTCTTTCATTTTTGCCAGCCAGTATACAACTCTTTTTGACTTTCCCTTCACAGGATAATGTAATGTTTTTTTGAAATTATCTATGATCTCGAGGTGTGATTTCTGGAGACCTGCTTCCTCAGTTGTTTCCCGTAACGCTGTCTCAAACTCAGATTCACCGGGGTCAACGTGACCTGTAACAGGAAGGAAAAGTGATTAAATGACATCATTCAATTTGGAAATATAACAAGAAAAACAGTAAAACTTATTGATTATGCTTTCCAAAAAGATTATCAGACTGGAATAAAGATTATGTGTTACATTATTTGATCTGAAATTTATCAGGCCTGGTGCCATTGTTATCTCTGAACTGTGTGAAGTGAACGGAACTCAAAAGTGGTATACAACAAACCATTTACCCGTATGTTAATTTGGACAAACAGCTTGACCTTTGAACTTAATGAGAATTTGACCTTTGACACATGAACCCCAAAATGGTATATATGCAGCACACACTTTGCCATTCTACATATTTCTATAAATTTAATAGAGCTATCTTCAGCAAGTCAGAAGAAAATGGACTTGACCTTTGGCCTCAATGTGGCCTTAACCTTTGGTGAATAGACCCAAAGGTGGTATGACAAACTGCCGTTTAATCTTCGATCTTCAGCAAGCCAGAAGTTATCACCGAGAAATGTATTTGACCTTTGACCTAAATATTACACACTATGTATATACCTACACCTTGGGAGTAGACCCTATTGTGGTATGGGACACATTGCTTATGCACCCTACATATATCTAAAAGATATGTTCAGGGAGTCAGATGTTATGGCCTGGACAATGAATTTGACACTTGATCATAATTTGACCTTGACCTTTGGCATTCAGACTTATAGCTATAGTGGTACACAACTCATCATTTTGCCAATTGCCATCCTGCATAATTCCATGAATCCCTCTATATCAGTGAGTTAAGATATTGCCTGGACCATGTATTTTATTTTTGACCTAAATGTAACCTTGACTTTTGGCATACAGACTCAAAATTGGTATGCAATACCCTACTCTAACTAAGGATCTAGACTGCTCATGGCGTGATATTATGAACAAAATGGCATCTTTTCTGAAACGGGGTCATTGTACTAGGGTGATGGAGTAAGCAACCGGCAAGTCAATTTACCCCAAAACACCTCAGCAATAGCAGAAGCTATAAGATAAGTTAAAAATATTACATATCCCTGAATGCTAAATATTTTATCGTCTAGTTCTTGTGTTATGCTGTCAGAAAGCTATAAAATCTATCACTGCAAGTAAGGGGAATGATTCGTTCACAAACGGCAAGACAATTCACTCAGCGCTGCAAACACAAATACATCAACTACATGTTTGTATAATTGTAAAATATATAACGGGTTTACTTATCTAATACATATATTTTGTTTATTCATTTAATTTTCAAAGTGCATAACGAGAAAACGAATGTCTAAAGTCTATTGTTTCAACCATAACAAACTAGGGCTACAACAGTGTTGTACGTACAGAAAGACCAGGGCCATGTACGTACAGAAAGACCAGGGCCATATTCGTTCATCGCTTAGAAATAGGAGCATATGCTTTTTTCGTATTACTGTTTATATTATTGATTCTTGAAAGCATTTCAGGCTCCTGTGGTCGGACTTAGTAATTTGATGCTTTTTTCAAGCGAGCCTTGACAAAGACTTGCAAGGCCTGCATAAACATTTGCAGGTC